TAAGGCTTAGATAATGTGACTTGCCTAAGATCACTCCGGGGGTTTCTATGGCTGCCCAAGGATACAAGCCCTGGTCTCCCAGAGTCCTTGTCCAACAATCAAATCACTACATCACTCTAGCTTTCTTTATTATTATTTTACCACTGTTGACACCACTTAGGAAATTTTGAAAGAAACCTTTGCCCTTCCTGTATTACAAAGGCAGGTAATAAGTGCAGTATTATGATGGAAATCTAACATGAAGCAATGCTTTATATAAGGACAGCATTGCTTGTCAATAGATATTGAATACTTTATTTGAATCTGGGAGATGTTTCTTACATCATTATTTAAATACATTAGATTGAATCCAAGCATGCCCTCCGTAATGTTACACTAATACTGAAGAAAGGAAGTAGAGTATCACTGCAGCCTCATTTGCTCCAGAGGGTTGAAAAAAGATATTTGAAACAGTTTAGGAGCTGGTGTTGGGGCCAGTAAGAGGAAAGATGGAAATTAAAACCAGTAGAAATTACCTTGATGCACTCACCCCATTACTTTAGAAATAGCCTCTGTTAAAAGATCTCATTTCTACCTACAAAAATGACAGATGTCTTCTTCTCAATTGTCCCTATAAAAAGAAGGAACCCCTTTGGTTGGAAAGAGGTTTATCTATATCAAGCCCGCTTATATCTTTAAACTCCCCTTTAGTGTGCATTGGATCAAATTTACATCTTTTCAGCTATATTAAAGTGTACTTTTAAGATAGTGTAATAATAATAATAATAATAATAATAATAATAATAATTATTATTATTATTATATTTTTACCCATCTCTCCTTATGGTTCGAAGCAAGGCACAACATAGCCAAAACAAATCATCATAAAACATTAAAATACACATATTAAATGTATTTCTATGAAATACGTTTATTAAAATGCAAAAAACAAATATTAAAATACAGTAAACACAAGATGTGAGTTTAATACCATAATTAAAATGTCCTGGGTAGGCCTCCCAGAAGAGATAGCTCTTCGGGTATGTTTCAAATTTTGACAACCCATTTTGCTGTTGGAGCTCTTCTGGCAGGTCATTCCACAGTCTTGGGGCAGCCAATGAGAAGGTCCTCTGGGTGACAGTTTATAGGAGACACATGAATCAGTTTAAAAATTAGCCTCAGTATAGATTGCTGTAATATCTTGAATTTTACAAGTCGCTTATAATGTTGCTTTAAAAAGTAGGCAAGAGCACCCATAAACAATATATTTTCTTGTATCCAACATCACCATTAGACTAGCAAACATGTCATACAAGGCATTGAAGGGTTTTCATCTTAGACAGCGGTTCTCAACCTGTGGGTCATGACAACTTTCGGAGTCGAACAACCCTTTCGCTGGGGTTTCCTAAGACCATGGAAAACACATATTTATGATGGTCTTAGGAACCAAGCCACCACTAACTTTTCCCCACCCCCTTCACTTCTCAGAGGCCTCTTCTTCTCTGGAGGGAGGTGGTGATGTCACTCAGCTCCACTCCCTCCATCTCTCTGCCATTTTAGAAGGAAGAGAAGGGAACAATGGAGATGAGATTTCCTTTAGAGCCAAGAGGAAATGGAAGAGAAAAGAGGAGGGAGAGGGGGAGGTGGGAAGGTAAAAGGGAGATAGGAGAAGGTGAGGGAGGGCAGGGCTTAGAGAGGGGTGGAGTGGCCCCTCCATAGCCAAATCCCAGGGAGAAAGAGAAGTAACAATGAAAATACATCCTGCATATCAGATATTTACATTATAATTCATAACAATAGCAAAATTACAGTTTGAAATAGCAACCAAAATAATTTTATGATTGGGGGTCACCACAACATGAGGAACTGTATTAAAGGGTTGTAGCAATAGAAAGGTTGGGAACTGCTGATCTAAGTCAACTAACCTGTTTGAAATTGATGTATTAATTCCTTCACCAAGAAAACATGCCCCCATGTTTTCATATTATCAGTGGACTTTTGTTTTATGTATAGCTTATACTTATTTCACTGAAAGAATTAGACAGAATTACTGGCCACATTAAGGAAATGAACCCTCTTAACTGATATAAGAAATTGAGAAGTCTCATGTCCAAGTTCATTTAAAGAACACCTCTTGTTATTTATTTATTTTAACCTATTATAAATCTTTAACTGTTTGATCACTTCTGTTAAGGACTTTTGAATATGTAGTAATTCCTCCTTCTATAACCGTTACGATAATAGACTTAGTAATACTTTAGACTGTCCAATAGCCTACTTTAGACAATGGCCATCTGCTCAAACATAAAGAATTGTCACATGTGAGCAGCACTTGAGGGAGAGTAACGTTTGCAGTTTCTAAAAATAGGAATGATACGAGCAAAAGCCGGGAATCAATATATTATAAAAAGCATTATGAAAGAAAGCACTGCTGGCCATTGACTGTAACAATAAAGACTGATATGCTAGAAAGGGACTTATCACTAGAAATAAACATTTTAAAATCTCTATTGGTATTGAAATTGCACTTCATAGCAATTGCTTTGTAACAGCAAGAGGTTGTCCTTTTCATCCCGTTCCCAAGGAGATGTCAAACAAATAACTTGTGACAGAAAATGAGGCTGAGTGAGAGGTCTTCTGCTAATGAATCTGGTAGAGGAAGTACTCAGATCTTTCTGTTCAGCTATAATAAGTTTCTATTAGATTACTAAAGGAAGTGTGCTGTTCTAATGAATAACTCATGATTTAAATTGTGGAGCGGACTCCCAGAACTAGCTGCTTAGTCTGATGCGTGTGCCCTTGTTTGCTTAGTGGATCACATCTTTCATTCCCCTTTATTCAGAGTGCTATATTCTATTATCTTATTGGTAATGGCTATATTCTGTTATCCTACTTGACGGTGGTAGCTGTAGCTCCTGTTTTCTTCAGGATTCCTTGTTTAAAGCAACAATATCAGAATGATGTCCAAGGTATCTACCTTTTAAAAAGCAACAATGTAACATAGAGGTTGGATTATAAATATGCAAGCAGAACAATGAGGGCTTATTTTAAAATTGGATCAGAACCAAAACAAGTGGCTTCTTTCAATAAAGTACACATTTGTTTCCTTGTTCTAGAGACTAAAAAGAGGGTCACTTCCTTTGAAAGGCTGTGGCTTTCAGAAATGATTGGAATTTCTCAGTGTTGTTCTATGTTTATTTAGGACAGCATGTCTCATGTGACAGTTTTATCACATTTATTTATCCATTTATCTGATATACCAGTAAAATTTAAAATGGAATTTTCAATATAAAGCTACGATCCTATGCAATCCTCATTGAACCCAGTGGAATGTTTGTCCACTGGGATCCACTTGTTTTATCAACTACAGTGTGATATAATAAACTTTATTTAATAATAAACTTTATTTATATCAATCAATCAATCAATCAATGATTTATTATGGTCTTTACCAGCACAGAATAGAATGGGGCACAGGAGCACAAGGAAGGGAATCGCAGTTCCCAAGTAGGTTAGATAAAAAGCAGATTAAAAACATGTTATAAAAGAGACAGATGAAAAAGCAGACTAAACTTACAGTTTAAAGTGCATGTATGAATCTAAAATAGGGGGGCGGCTAATACAAATATCTGACAAATGGGAAGCTCTATCCGTCATTATGGTCCACACGTGCATAACTTTATTTATATTCTATCCTATCTTATCTCCCTGGAGGGACTCAGGGTGGACACCAAACATAAAAAGCAAACATTCAATGCCTGAACATAACAATAATACACTCATAATAATGAAAGTTGACAATCCAACATATAAAAACAAATTATGTCTTAACAACTAAAATTAAATAAAAAATGCAACCTGTTTTTCCCAGTTCCTTGGGGGCAAATACATTGATCATTGCTCAAGATGTCTATTGAGCTAGTGGGACAAACAGCATGGATACGGATGGTAGCTATTAAGCAGAGGTATAATGGTAGTATTACCATCTTCTCCTCCTCCTCCTTGTAAGCCATGAGCAAAGGTACGTCTTCAGCTGTTTCTTTAAGGTGGGGAGGGAGGGGGCCATCTTTGACTCCTTAGGAAGGGAGTTCCAGAAGTGGGGGTAGCCACAGAGAAGGCCCTTTCTCTCACTCCCACCACGGGGATGGGACAGAGAGCAGGGCCTCCTTCAATGAGTGCAGTGTCCAAGTTTGTCTATAGTGGGAGATGTAGTTTGTCAAATATTCTGGATCTGAGCTGTTTATGGCTTTAAAGGTAAAAACCAGCACTGTGTATTTAGCCTGGAAGCAGACCAGCAGCCAGTGGAGCTGCTGCAGCATGGGAGTAGTTCTCTCCCTGAATGGTGCTCTGGTTAGCAACCTGGCTTTCAATCTCTGGAACATTAGAAGCTTCCGAACATTTTCAAAGGCAGATTTTATCTTGTCCATGAGATTACTTTGTAGGCCTTTCACAATTTTTTTGTTAATGTTTTTAACCCTGAAGTCCCAATCATACTTACATGCAGATCCCTGTTATACTTACATGCAGATCTCGATAAGTTGTTTTTCAATGTAATACGTTGTGTATGATAATATGTTCCTGAAGGGACTCCGACATAACGTGTTAATATAACTTTTTTAAAAGTGTGGAATTATTTTATTCTTTTAAACTTCAAAATTGGTATGACAATTTCCTAAAATTGGTTGCAGACGTCCCATAAAAAGGTCCCAGTGGGTTTTTAATCCCCAGGATGTTACATGAAAAAAATAATGTTGATAATGGGTGATTACACAACAAGGTGAATGATATCACTACAATATTGTTTAGTTCCAAAAGAATAATGTGTTATGAGAAGCATCATTACTTGTAACATTTTATTTCCCAGCTGTGATTAGAAATCCTATTTAACCAGTAAGATTTGTTGTTTTAGGATTGATCCTTTAAAAAATCGTATTATTTCATGGAAACTGTTTTTATTTTCTTAAAGATCTCTGAATAGTTGAAAATGTCCCTTTTCTTTTCTTCCTTAATGCATTCTATAGAGGAGAAGTCCGGTAAGACTCAGTCTTCTTCAACTCTTAATAATTATTATAAATGATTGTTTCCCTATGTTGTTTAATACTTATTTAGTAGACTATAGACCCAAAAATACTATATTAAATATTTGCGAGTACTGATCGCTTTCCATTACATTTATATTCTGAGTTGTGGAATTTCATTTTGCAGTTTGTGCTATGTATCCCCTCCCTCTTCCCACTGCAATTTTAGAATTTTTGCAGATCTTTTGCAGTGGCGTTTGTTATTGTAAAAACAATGAATAAGAATATATTGTTTTATATATTCCGGTTTTTGGCTAAATGTGACCTCTGCAAATTTCCTGGTCTAAATAGGAGCTTCCATTTATTTCACCTCTTGTGTTGTTGAAGGCTTTCATGGCCAGAATCACTGGGTTGCTATGAGTTTTCTGGGCTGTATTGCATAACGTCAGGAGAAAATAATTCTGGAACATGGCCATACAACCCGGAAAACTCATAACAACCTATTTCAACTCTTATTTCTTCCTCGTTCCTAAAGCAGTTAGACAAACTTTCAAATGTGACCCCACTCTGCTTTTCCAGATGTTGCTGAGTGGCAGATTTCATTCTCTTTGAAAGGAAGAGGGCTTTTCATTTCCTACACTCAACAATGGCTCATTAGGCTTTTGCCACTGGCAGCCTGAATAAGGAAGGGGGAGGGGGTGACCTGAACCCACAATGCCATGGAGAGGTGCCCTTCCTGCTGAGACCCCATGCCAGCAGTGGTTTAGCTTTGCATACATAGCCCCAGATGATACTGTGTTCCTTGTTATGCAAGGGTAGTTCTGAAAGCTTATTATCTGCTTGGTGAGTCATGATCAAAATACTGAAAAAGAACATTGAAAAAGAAATGTTGATGAAATTTGATATTAGTAGAAGAAACCTTTCCCCCTGTATATACTGTGAAATGCCTTTCTTAAAAAGGATATGACAGTCATTTACTGGAAGAAGAAAAAAACATAAAATGTGTATTGACAAATACTTGGCACGTATAAATTGGCATAGGTCCACCGAAATTAATGAAGCAGTGTGGCACAAGCGCTGAAAATCTGTAGAGTAGTCCCTCAGCTGGGGCCTAAAAATACTAGAATGATTTCTAGGACAGAAGTTTTATGTAACATGTTCCCTGACATTTACTGCTTTGTATTGCAGTGTGGTTTATATTGATTATTGTGGATCTTGAATTCTTTTTAAAAATAATGACTGTATTCATAATTAGTAATCTTAATTTAAAACATCTAATGTGTACACTCTCAGAAGTACTCACCAGCTGTATTTTGTTATATCTGCATTCATATAAGCATATGCTTACCTGTATTCATAACTGAAAAGCAAATAAAAATAGCTTGCCAAATATCTTCAGGGCCCATATGTTGTTGTATTTTTAAAATATAAGGGTGCGCTTTTGGATGCCATTCACATGTCTGAAAATATGTGAATAAAATGCTGGCATGTTTTTCTCACTAGACAACAATAGAAGTCTAAATTTTTGCTTATTTCTAACAAGAAATAGAGGAAGATCTCTAAATTTAGTGAAAACTTGTTAGGCTTCTTGGTAAATGGGTTGTTGTAGTTTTTCAGGCTATATGATCCTGAAGGGGACACAAGACGGCTTACATGTTCCTTCCCACTTCCAAACTTATAATTTTTCTCTCTTAGCTATATTTATGAATGATCAAACAAAGAGCAAGTGAAACAGGAGATTTGATATTTGTTTCTGAATTATTTTATTTTTATTATTAATTTATAATTTATTACAAATATTTATTTTTATAAAAAGGCACACCGAACATATTCAACGTCTTGGACAGAAGTGATGAGGAGGGCAGCCTGGAACATTTAGTAGTTAATTTTTCCTATTTGTGAAACAAGAGAAAGATGGCATATTATCTTCCACCACAAGTATCACCTTGACCTCAGGCAGAGTGGCAAATCTTTATGAAAGGAGACATAGGAAGCAACCAAAAGATACAGGATGTAGAGATGGGAATGCCATATGGTCCAGCTTGCTCACCCAGGCAACCGGGTTGCTCTCAGTTGGAGTGGAAGATGCTGTCTAATGGCCATTGTTTAGCTCCCATTCCCTTGTCAGTTTTGCTGTCTTTTTGTACATGAAATTGGGGGAAAGGCAATTTCCCTTTTGTCTCAGGTTGAAAAGTATCTTTGGCCAACCCTTATAGAAAACCCACTCCCCAACCCCCAATCCATGTTCAGTCACTCCCTGACTAGGAATCTCTTCTCTCTCTTTTTTTGCTGACCACAGAGGCGCAGTCCGGTAAGATGTTGCATGACGTTTCATGTTAAATCAATTGCAGAAATGACTAGGGGGTGATCATAATCCATATCCAATATAAACTGGTTTTGTGAATTAGAAGCAAAGCAGATTAATCTAATCCTCTTGCATAATGTTTGAATTACTTTTCTTATAGGAGAATATAAATATGTGATGTACCACCAGTTTAGATATAAATGGCATATATGTAGGAACAGAAGGAAGCATACAGGCATACCTCAATTGACAAAGCCTCTGACAAAGAATCTAATTTTGCAAAACCTTTTTATTCCTATGCACCATCTCATTTTCCTCATTGTCTTCTGTTTAGCTGGAAGTTTTTTCTAGCAGTGTCAGCATTGGAAGGATAGTGAAGGGGACAGAAGAAATGCAGGATTTTTTATATTTGGCTGCTTGCTATAAAAACATCTACATGAAAGATTTTTTTAAAAAATCAGCGTATTTTGGCAATAAGTTTAGTTCTGGACAATTCATTAATTTTTTTCTAAATTCAGCATTTTTGGTGCATCGCTGCACCTAAAAATGGTGAGTGTGATCAATTTTATTTTAAGGTCGAAAATTATCAGGCTGTACATTTGTAGCAACTAATTAAATCTTAAATTAATGAAGTAGGCATTTGACAGCATGACTGGCACCTAAAATAGAATGTGTGAACCAAAGTTAATATGCATTTTGGCTTAATAATGTTAATTTCCTGTACCCTTTTCTAGTTCCTGACTTATTTTCCTTCACTGTTTGTTCCAGTAAATGGGTCATTCATTCCTGCTACAGTCTTAAATATACTCACATAGACCTAAACTTCATTTTTCTTTTTAATTTTAGGGTACAATAAAAAGGAATTTATCTAGTAAGTATATATGCCTTTTATTTTCTTGGGACACATTTTGCATCTTCAATGATTGCGAATATTTACTTCTTATTTTTCATGCTCTAAAATTATTGCAAAAGATACTTAATTTTATAGGCTGCTAATAAAGATACTTAATTTTATATATGTCCTCTAAATAACACTGTTTTGTGTCTAACAATAGTAATTCCTGATATTACTATTGAATTCTGTATGAATTCTTAGCAAATAAAATTAACAAATTCTGACACTATCACAATGAGAGACATATGGAGTATGCCTGAGCGCACAGATAAGTTCAGCAGGCCAAGAAAAACAGATGTTAGATATTTGGAATTATAAAGGGTTTGTTGATATAGGATTTGGGTTTAATTTTTTTTACTCTCATTATAAACATAGACATATACTTTTGCATCAAGCACACCCATACATATCCATTAGGGCTGGGCGGTTTCATTCCGTTAATTCGTAATTCGTTAAAAAATCGCTATTTTTTTTATAACGAAGCGATAACAAACCATTCTGGAGCAACTTAAAAATGAAACGAATTTTTAAATTCGTTTCGTAATTGTTTCGGATTTGTTATGTATTCGTTTTGTTATCGTTTTGAAGTCGTTTCGTTATTATTTCCGCATGTCTGGGGCAAGTTTTATAGTTGTTTTTTGTTTAATTAGTGAAAAAAAAATTATAATATCACACCAACAGTCAACAACAGAGGGAGAGGGAAGCTTCAGAAGTTCCCCCTGTCCCATTTGGAGGTTTTTTAGCGTATTTCGCGGTCGCGTCCGCCATTAACGAATCGATTCGTTATTGTTTCGAAATTGATTCGTTATTGTTTCGTAATTTTTTTAACATTTACAAAATTTCGTAAATATCGAACTTTTTAAAAGAAAAATTTCAGAATTCTTTTTAAAATCGAAACGCAAAAACCCCCAAAAAACTAATCGATTTTAGAAACAAATTTTTCCGTTGTTACCCAGGCCTAATATCCATACATGCACATTATGTGTAACATTGGAGAAGGGATCAAAGCTAAACCACTTTTGTGAAAGTGACAATGACCTAGCTGAAATGAATTGCAAAAAATGTTTCGATTAAAATTATCATAGTTATGTAAGAAACATTATTGTTAATGTTATACTCACTCTGCGATGAACAAGTTAAGCACTAAAACCCAGAAATAGTGCACAACGGAAAAAAGGACTTAAGAAAGTATAGATCTTATTAGTTTTTCAAATCTAAATTATACGTACAAATACATCCATATTCTGAAAAGAGATGACTGAAGCAATGTTTTAGCATTCTTTGTGACTACTGTAATGCAAAGGAAGGGATACTATAGAGTTGGCATTTCTAACAGTAATTGAACCACTTTTCTAGAGGGTTCTGGGAAAATGACCTTAAAATTGTATCTTATGTGCCAGGTGAAGAAATAGCAAGACCTAGGCGTTCAACTCCTACTCCAGAACTTCTAAGGTTGGTATAAAAGTGGCATAAATGTACAGTATGGGAAGATCTGCACTTCTTAGCCCAATATGGCATCCTGCAACATTATTACTAAGTTCATGATTTACTGATCCATTTTCTTATAAAGCTTTTAAAAATATGCGCAATGTATAACTCCTCTTTCTGAGTTCAAAACACCTTTCTGTATGTACTGTATACATCTCTGCATGTAGAAGTGGAGATTTAGATCAAAATTTGCAGTCACTATTGTCAGACCATCATGTTTCATTTTACGACCTCATCAGATGGGCCAAAATTTGACTGCATATCCAGGTTCCTCTTCAGCTTTGACACGGAATCTGCCAGCTCCCATTCCACCTTGTACAGCTACTTCTGGTGGGGCTCCGGAGCAAAACTGAAGAGAACCCATGTATGCCACCACCACAGCAATGCGGGGTATGGGGTGACAGGTTCCACGGTGATTCCGGTGGCAAATGTGAAGAGGTCCATAGATTATGTCATTATATAGTTTCCAAGGGCTTCAGGAGTTCTTTACCATTACCACCTTCTGTATGCTTTAAGTTCCTTTGGAGATAGCTATGGTCCACTGCTGTTGTCTGTAAGAAATCCTTCTCCAGTGTTTCCCCACTACTGGTGCTGTCCAGTAGCTGTTTCACACATTGAGCCTGGCTCCCCAGTAAAAGCATGTGTCTGATGTGGGTGCCCTCTCATCAGCAGTGCTACTATCAAGTCCCACTGCCATGGAAAGGTAGTGCCAAGATCCAGGCCCGTAGCCAGGATTTTGTTTCGGGAGGAGCTGAGTCTCTAATATATAGTTAATGCAGGCCAGGATTTTGATTCTGGGGGGTGGGGTGAGTCTGAGTGAAAGAGGGTCTACCCTAGCAAACCTTTTGTATCGTTACCCCAATACCCCCATGCATATGGGATATATTGAGCATGGTGATCAGATCATGATATGAATAAACATAACAGTTTAAATAATGTACAGTAAGGCCTTCTCGCGGACCACCATGAGAATTTCGGGGGGGGGGGCTGAAGCCCCCAAGCCCCCCCTCCCTGGCTACATGCCTGCCAAGATCACAGTATTTCCAATTCATCCAAGTCATAGTATATTCCATTTCTTACACTTATGAAAGACTGACAAGAAGAATATCAACTAATTTGAAATGTAATGCCGGAATATAAATTTGAAAGCTACTGAAAAACAATGGAAAGCCCCGAGATTAGGAGAAAGAGACCTCCAAATCGTATTTTATGCAATTTGAACCCCCCACCATCTCTTTTCCTAGAAATTTACTACTTCAGAAGCTACTTCCTGAAGTTTCATTTTGAAATAACAGGGTATCACAAATGGACCGTGCAACAAAATTTTGTTGTTTTGAAAGCAGTGGCAACTGGTGTCACTGGAATTGTGGGATGGGGAATCCATATTTGATTTTAATGACAGTGCTGTATGGTTTTAAGAGCAGCTGTGATTCTGGTTGCATTGAGAGCTATCCAAATGATGCACCCTGTTCACAGCATAGGCTCCAAACCTGGATAACTCCTACAAAATCTAGAGCTACAATTAAAACTGCACAATAATTAGTTAACTCCTTTTGTGAAATCCAGTAACCACCTGTAATTGTAATTCAGTATCCATATTGTACTGCAGCAAAAAAGCCCCAGATGATCCTGCAGTCCTAGCACCACTATTTGGTCCACCCCTAGAGTCTGCATTTGAGGAAGAGAAGTTGGAAGGCAAGTAATATTGTTTAATTTTATTTATATGAGATTCTGTGTGTGGATAGTTTGAAATAACCAAAAGGATTTTTTCTAAAATTGTTTTATACCATTGTTCACCTTATCTAACTCCCCTGATAAAGGTTCATTATGAACAGAATTCATAAACTGAACACAAAGTAGATCCATTCTTATTTGTGAACAAAGATCAGTTTATGTACAATAAGGGAAAGAAGTACAATAAGGGAAAGAAGATTTTAATAATTATTAGAAAACCATTTGTTATAAATGGCTAACCAAGAAAGTAATGTCCATAACTTTGAGAATACAGGAGTTAAGATGATTTGCAGTCTTCTTGTTGCCTCCTATTAGTGTTTCCTAGCTTTTTTCTCTCCTGTCTGATTTTTCCTAAACTCAAGGACAAACGGAGTACATGCATTTCTCTAAAATAGAGGATATTTTCTAATTATTTTAAAAGGTAGAATAAAGATCTGTTACCTCTAGATTTCCATGCATCATGTTTTATATATTTTTGTGTTCAGCTCCAATAGATCAACCTGAAGTGTGGGGTTCAGTGCAGCCAGAAAATGTAGAATCTCCAAATTCATCACAACCTTTTCCATCTGGAAGTAAGTAAAAGTATTGCCTACTGGAAAAATTGGGTTTTTTGTTACCAAACATTTAGATAGGAAATGGAAATAGCATTGTTAAGGATGATTGCTCATTATACTGTCATGGAAATGGAGATATCAATTTCTTTATGAATTGGAATCCATCTTTCAGAATGGATCCTGAGATGATTCACCGTTTTTGGAGAGAAAACTCGCTCTTTACGATCTCAATTTGCAAAGTTAAGCCTGACTTTTTATCAAAAAGACAGTCACCTAGCAACTAGTACAGCATGGCACATATATGTGAGTTCCTATTAAGAACTAGAAGTTTGATTCATGATTGTGAAGGAAAAAGTAAAAAACTATTTTTAAAACTAGGAATATTTAAATATCAAGCTGTATAACACTTGTTATCTCATAATATTGCACAGCACAACAAAATGTGGGCTGCATTGATGCTTCAAGTATTTTTATCTCATGGCAATGTGCAAGAAATTTGGGTTATTCCTCATCTGTTTCTGTTACCGGTTGAGGTTGATTTGACTCAGTACAGCTCACAAGAAGCATAAACACAAGAACTGTAAAGCAAAATAGAATATTAAAACAAAATTGATTTAAAAGCAATTCCAAAGTGTATCAATAAAAAGTACAGAACCAACTGTTGAAAGATTGTTTCTGAGCTAGCAGTGAACTGCCAGAAGCTTTGTTGTTGTGTGAGTTCAAGTTGTTCCCAACTTGCAGAAACCCTAAGATGAACCTGTTCCAAATTTTTCTTGGTGAGGTTTGTTCAGGGAATGTTTGCCTTTCCCTGATGCTGAGAATGTGATGCGCTCAAGGTCACCAAGTGAGTTCTCATGGCCAAGCACGAATTGGGCATTGGTCTTTGGAGTTGTAGCCACCACCATAGCATATTCTCTCTCAAGCAGAAGACTGCCTGAATACCACCTTTTTCATGCATGCAGAAAAGCAATAAGAAGCCTAAGCTATCTTCAAGTATTTATCTGTTTTGTGACTGAAAAAAAACCCATAAACAGTTGAGATAATCTAGAGCTAGTTTTAAAATATCCTTAAGGGTTACTTCAAATTGCAGCAAGGTGCCAAAGTAGTATAATTCTTATCTTCCAATTCACAGAAGATTGATATCTTTATTGGTCAAACAAAATGTAAAAAATATATCATGCAAGCTTTTGAAGCTCTACTGGTGATGAAATTTGTTTCCTGGGTTTATTTTTATTGATTCTCAAGCAATTTTGCCTTAATATTCCTGGATGAAATGATCTGACCTTCACTTCCCAGAGTGAAAAAAAGCTTAGAATTTAATTGTTCACCAGATTTCAGACAATCCCTAAAATGTTGCAATCCAGTTCTTGATAGTTCACATGTATCAAAATATACATTTGAATTATATGTTGAAACAAAATGCACTTTTGAATGCTGAGAGTGCTCCAGAGGGCTCTCACCCACCACATGCTTTCCTTGAGCTGTCCTTCCAGCATAAGGATGGGGCCACTCGCACTGTCCATATGCCAGGAGGAGGGTGAGACACGTGGTGGCTGAGAGGGCTCCAGAGGGCTCCCAGCTGCTGCATACCTTTCTCCCCCACCTTTTTGACAGGGAAAATGAGGAGGGCCTGAGGTAAGCACCCAGTCATCTGTCCTCCAGGCCTTAGTTTGCTTATGTCTGGTATAACACCTTCTTTGGAAGTTAGCAGGATTGCAAAGGTGGGCTTTTGTAACATTGTGTTTTTGCAAGTCTTTGTGTTGATATGAGAAACTTTAATAGGAAACTCAATCAATAGGTCTTTTTTGCTTACTTGTAATCCTTGCATCCTTTAGCAAAGGATTGTTTCTAACGTATGAGGGACTGTCCAGAACAGGTTGGGATGTGATGTAGGGGCTAACATGAAATTGGCAAACAAACAAACAATCAAGGAGTCTTGCATCAGAAGGGGTATAATGAATACGGAATGAATTATCTGGATTACAACATTTGACTGGATCTGGATGTGGCCAAGTGATAGATTCCCAATTTTTGTTGAACTTTGTCCATCTTTTACTTTTAAGTTCTTTTTTTTTTTGTTTTGTTATACAGCTCCTCCGCCACTTCCACCTAAGAACATTCCAGCGACACCTCCCCGCACTGGTTCTCCATTAACAACAGGAGTAGGTAAGAATATTAAACAAGAGTCTATTCCATTTATACGTTATGAACTTTTTAATCACTATAATCACTTCTTAATAATGGCCATGTAATTATATACCTTCTACATATACATGATAAACATGCATTTAATATCAATTAATATTTTCATCCACCTTCAAGTATTGTAGGTGATTTTTCTTCTTTAACAAGAAAATCTAGAGCAAATCTAACATATGGTTTTTTTTCTAATGCCGTTGAGATTTTGAATTTGCTGCCTGTCTTGAATTGAAATGTTGAACAATTCCATCCTGAAATATGACTGTATTGGCACTGTTTAGTACAAACAATTGATCTCTTACTTTGCCCATAAACAATTTGTCTGGCCCAAGTGTAAGGAAAGAAATTGGGGACTTTAGCAAGGCTACAAGAAATATCAGCAAACTCACAGTTCCTATTGATAACTGCAGAGGATCTATTGTGGTATAATAGTCTTGAAATCGTGAAGTCTGTATAGGAGTATAAGGAAATATAATTAAGATTATTTAGAGGACTTGAGGCCTACATCCTTTAAAGGCACCAGATTCTGTCTGATCTTGGAAGCTAAGCAGGGCCAGCTCTGGTTAGTATTTGGATAGAAGTGAATCAGCAAATACCAGGTTCTGTAGGTTATATTTCAGAAGACGGAACTGGCAAAAAAAACCTTTTGAGTATACCTTGCTATAAAAAAGCCTATGAAATTAATGGGCTCACCATAAGTCAATAGGCAACTTGAAAGCACAAGCATACAAAAGGAACTTACTTGGATAAAAATAATCATGATTTGGATAATAAGTTGCAATCTCCATCAAACTCCCATTGAATCATAACTTATACCTTTTCTAAAGGTCTGTTAACCTCCAGAAATAGACTGAGATCAATTAATAGAAGGTTTCAGACAGAAAGATGGGGCTGGAAATTCAATTTCCATGAACAATTAACTCTTTAAAAGAATGATGGGATCAAAGCCATCGAGGCACATAAAAACTGTAAATACCGTGCTTTAAGGCATGTCATTCATGATGCAAATGAAATTAATTAGTGTATATACACTACTACCATTGGCTTATGGCTTAAGTTCAAATAAGAATATACATATATACTGAAAAGATTATAATTATATGAAACATAAATTTTGCATTATGCAATGAATACAAACAATGTTTTAACAGCATTCTTGTCCACATACATGCACATTTTGTTCTATGTTCTTCGGCATTTTATCATGTATATATGCTATTTCCTCCCAGTATTTATTCTGGGTAGGTGTAATACATACCTGCAAACATTAATCAAATGAAATTAAGAACTATGTTTGATCATTTATATCCTGTGTAAGACTGTCACATTCTTTACGTGAATTTTAACCATGTGTAAATAAAAGGGATCTTTCAGTCTAGCAAAGCTGGCAATCATTCCTAAAATACAGCTTTCTTTCTGATAATATTTTGTAGAATGTAACTGTCCCAAACTCGTTATTCTTTAGTTACAGAAATAAAGTGAAAAGAAAGCATGAACTTTTCCTTCTATATACAGGGATCATTTGTGCATAAGAGAGAGACCAGGCAGCTGTCTACAGAAAATATGGACCATTTGTTCAAATTCAGAACAGAAATATTACAAACTACCTATTGAGTGAATCGAGGCCAAAGAGTAGGAAACCTATTTAAAAGAGCAACTAAATATAAAATATATGTACTGTCTAAGATCATTCTTTCCTGTAATGTTTTGGATATGTATAATGTGTCCCCCAATGTTATAGTTTGCTCCTCCAGCAAGAACAGCAATGTAAAAGTAATAAGGGGTACATTCTAGTGATCGACATAGTTGCTATAATCCATGAATGTTGACAGGTAGAGGAATTCCTCTTTCTACTTATAGAAATAAGAGGAGCCAGAGTGTTGTAGTAGTTTGATATGACTCCATGAAATGTGATTTCAAAGGCCTGCTCAGCTGTGGAAACCCACTGGGTGACCTTGAGCATGTCATACTCTCTCAGCCTAAGAGAAAGGCAATGGTAAATCTCTGAATAAATCCTGCTAAGAAAATTCAATGCTAGAGGTGCCATTAATCAAACTGAACACTTAGGAATTAAGCTGTTCCCATGATATGAATGCATAATTTATGGTTATAACTGTGAGGCTGTAATGATTGGATATCATCCAGAAGAATATGCTGAAATGCTACTGATTTGGAGGGAATTACATTTACTTGGCTCAGATAGCATTCAAATCAGAACATAGTCATTGAGCAGATCATTGAATCTAAACAAGCAACATATATTTAGAATCAGCGGAGTTAAGTTTCTCCTATGGACTCCTAAATGCTGCTCCTAAATAAAATACATTAACTATATGTATATATACTTTTAATCTTCTCCACCTGATATTCTTGCAGTTATTTTCTAACAAGCGGTGTTGATGAAATACTGTTTCTTTTTAAAATTCTCTCTTGACAGACTCTGGTCCTTTTGCTAAGAAAAGACAGATCATAATGATTGCTGAACCTATGAACAGAATTCTATATAAAGTTCTTTTTCCTAAAATATTACCACAATATGTGCTGCAGATCACATTTATGAATTTTGTAGTTGGTAATAATGATTGTTGAGCTCATGAACATATTCCTATATCAGCTTATTTAGACAAAAGTATTATCACAATGTGTGCTGAATTGTGTAGTATATGTTCAGTGCAAGTATTCATATCTGCATGCAAATCACCATGTTTCAATTTTAGATTTTTGCTTATTATATTTGCAGATAAAATCACTGCATTAGCAGTTGTTGCGGCAACTTTCTTCGAGCACTGTGTTCCATTTGAATATATTTGTATGACTGAGATTTGTAGGCAGTACACTTTGCATGTTAAATTACATGGAATGTACTTGATATGATTATGGATAACATAAATTTCACATGCTAGGTTGCTATTTATGCGCATCAGTTACCTTCTTCCTGGTGACACCTTTCAAACATGCTATGAAAATGTCTGTGTTAGAATAAAGCTGATTTTAAAAGCCCCGTATGTTAGTAGAACATTAGTGCAACACAGCTGTACAAGTTGGTGTTAAAGTTTAAAATCAACTACTTTGACCACAGGAAATGACCAGACAGCAACAGAGGTCAAAAGTGACAAACTACCATCAATCAATGACTTGGACAGCATTTTTGGCCCAGTATTATCCCCCAAGTCTGTTGCTGCTGACGCGGAGGATAAATGGATCAGTTTTTCTGATCAATCCCTGGAAAACGTAACTCCAGAGGTGACTTCAAGGGAAAAAGTGGTGTCCCCACCTGTGGCATCAGAAATCCCAGATGAGCCTCCGGAGGCTGAAACCTCTCGCAGTATTCCATCACCACTCAATTTAGAAGAGGTTCAGAAGAAAGTTTCTGAGCAGACCCACGTTAAAGATGATAACTTAGCAGCAGCAGCATCTCCTAAAGATTTTGGGGTGGGACAGAGAGCAACACCGCCTCCCCCTCCACCTCCTACCTACAGAACGGTGGTGTCGTCACCCGGACCCAGCTCTGGCGGTGGCACAGGAAGCACCAGTGGTATGTCAAAACAGCTTTGAGTGTGCTTCAGTGTGGCCATGAATGCTGCTGTGTGAACACAAAACCTTTTTAGCTACTCTTAGTTGGTTGGCTTTTAAGCATCAGTCATTCCCTTTGTTTGGTTGTACTGTGCCCAGTGGCTTTTATTTTATTTTTTTTTATTCTGTGCTCTTGTGATCCAACTTAACCCTTAATCCTTGATACTATGTGTTATATCCCTACCATTGCTCAATGTCTAGTGTTTATTGGAGAGGTCTATATCTTCAATTGTAATATAGATATAAAAGCTATCTGTTACTTTAAATTAGGAATTCTTTAAATTCATCAAATCTTCTAAGCAAGAAACAAGCATTTGATACTCACTACTTTCTGCCAAGCAAGGAAGTCATGCTTCTTTCTGCCAAGAAGTCATGCTTCTTTCTGTCAAGCAAGGGAGAGAGATCTTAGGTTTTCCCCAAGGGGAACTGATAACTGAACACTTCCACTTTTACCAAATGACCACAGACTCATAGGTATTTTCCAAAAGCAGGAAAATGTTGTTCTTATCCTTCTAACGCAAAAGTACTTCCCTACCTTATGGCCAAAGCTCATGTGGGAAGCATCGCATGTGAACTGCTTTCCTACCAGCCATTTCACAGATCTTCATCAGTGTGGCACTTTCAAATAGAAACTTCTCTTCTGTGGCTAACAGCTCTATTGGGGGAAAAGCAGTTTTTGTTGCTGTAAAACATTGTCATTGTAACAAAAGTAAATGGGGAAGTTTCCTCCCATGTGATCAGTGTAAGATGGAGAAAAGCAAGTTTCTATGCAGTCAGAAGTGCACAGAAATCTTGAATGTTGCATCAGTCAATTTAATATATTTCAAAAGTTTAAATACTTAGAAATGGATAATTATGAATGAAGATTGGATTTATTCCAATAGTTACATTGCCCCAGGAAGCCAAGGAGGCTATTGTCAAAAATCAGGGTATTGCTGTTGTTTTCCCCAGGTTCTCTTACCAAAGGAATTCAAAGAATGGTTTTTTGAAGAGGAAAACTATACATTTACAAAGAGCAAATTACAGACTGCCTGGGTGTTAAACTGCTAATGGTAAAAATTAATGGATAACCTAAAATTCCTTGCAGAATGGGAAAAAAATTTCCAACCACTACTAGAATGAAAATGCATTTTTTTTCCCAATGAGGAATACAGCATCCTGGTGGGGATGTTGGAAGTTGTCATTTTTCCAACTTCTGTTGAGTTTATACAGGTGTCTGTAAAAGTTTTCTGATAGGAAATTGCCTATATTCAATTGAGAAGCAGCTGGAAAGGTCTTTCCTGTTTCAGGTCAGCCAATGCTGCTATTGGTATCTTTTTCCTCACCTTGTAAAAGGAAAGGGATAAAGACTTCTTGTTTTTTGTTTAAGTTGGGAAGAGAACCTGTCTAGTCAAGGGATTCTAGGTAGTTCCAATTTTAAGGTAGACCTAAATTTGAAAAGGCCACATTTGCCATTTTTGAAAGTTGTAAAACTAATTCTATTTAACAAAAGTATTAGTATTACACCTATAAAAGCATGCCTGACAGTTTTATTTTTAAAGAGGATATGTCATATCTATGGCCAAGATATGATCACTGATTTATGGAAGAGGGAATTCCAGTAGGTGTTGCATATCACTTAACCAGGTAACAAGCAATACCTGCAACAAACTATTAAAAAGACATAACTCCTGACCCTTATTTCACCCAGATGTGTATGGCTTTTGATAGAAAAGAGTGTTACTAAATGTGATATAACTCCTGATAAATTATTATTTTAAGGTGAAATATTTGTTTTAAAATAGACGTAAATGTTAATCTGATTCGTTAACCGTACTAAATGCTGGTCAGCATTGTCTTAAATAAATATGAAAAACAATTATTCTCATAGTTCTCATACTTGTGAACTTTCCCAAAGATTGAAAGTTAGTTTCTATAAAGTAATTCAGCCCGAAGTGTGTATTTATGTGATGGAATAGTAGTAAAATTGCATAAGTGCATTTTTATTCCTGTCCAGGGTTTCTATCCAAAAGACTTCAAATGCCATATAGCACAAAAATTGTACTATTTTCTATATGCAAATTTCATCGAGAATAATCAGACTTAAACCTAAGCAAGTTTGCTCGATTCTGCAACATGTTCAGAACATTTTAGCAAAGCTTACAAGAATGAACTGGAAGCTTGACATGTTTGTTTAAGAACAGGAAAGAAACGAACTATATCAGAGATCACCAAAATTATTAAATTTCTCCATTGCTACTTAGATCAGTAGTTACAGAGTCGTGCCTTTTCCCACTATAAACAAATTCAAAGTAAACAATCTATAGCTAATTCTTAACATAGCAATTAAAATAATAGTCTTGATCTGTTTCTGAGATAGAAACGATCATTTTCAAGGAAAATTGTGACTTTTATTCCAAATACTCCGGAACTTTTTAAAAAAAATGGATGCAATTTTTTTCCTATTTTGTTAAAGATAGATTTTACATCTTGGAATATATCTTATTGTGAAGCTTTGCTGTGCCTGATGGATATGTACATAAGAAGAGCCACCTATGTTTTCCAAAGAGTTTTGCTTGGTCAAATTTCTTGGCTCCAAGAGATACATACTACCATTTTGTCCTGTTGTCAATTTTAATTTTTATCTATGGTTTCAGCACAATTTCTTTAATTTTTGTAATTAATTACCAATAGGGAAATCTCAAAGTTGTTGAATTAACATAAACTTAACATTTGGGTAGCCATTTGACTGAATGTGGTGTTCATGGTTCTTTAATGAAGAAAAACCTTTGTACCCAGAATTTCACATTTGAGCACTTTGGGTTATGTATGCTGCGCTGAGTACAAAATGCATATGATTGTCAAAGCTTTTGAAACTCCTTACCATAGTAAAGGGGATTATTCACAACCCATTTAACAAGTGCAATATCATTTTGTAATTATTCTTGTGCTGTACTATGAATCCTTTACCATCCCACCATCTACGTTCTCCTGATAGCTGTGTGTTTTATGTGTGTTTTTCACTGACTGCATGAAGCATGTAATCAGTTGGTGTTTATGATCAACGCTGTGATACTGACATCTAATTTGGATGTAGAATGTCTTGTTTGATTTTAAAGAACTGAAATGAGCACCCAAAAATGTTAGGAGTTTGCAATATGTTGAATATGGCACACCTTCCCCTTTCCTTTTCCATTTAAAATAATGTCCTTAGTCTGTATTCTTTTGTTAGGCCAAACCTGAGTAGTCCCATTAAATCAAATGAAGTTACATCACTGTTGATTTTATAAGTTGTTGTTCATTCAGGCATTTTCTTATAGTTGTAACTTATAATTTAGACTCTTGTAATTTATCTTTCATGGGACATTGTTCTTTGGAAGGGGACAGGAGCATGTTAAAATTACTGTACACTGGAATACCCAAATAGAAGTATATACATAGACAACATTCCTTTTAACAGCATGACAACTGCTGCATCATAACTGCTTCCAATGTCACTCAGTAATCTCTATCATATGTTCACAGTATGTACAAGGAGTCCATGCTGTGGATCGTTCCCTACTACTATTGTTCCAGTTTCCTGAAAGAATAATGGTAGAGTGGGAAGAAGACACAGCATGAATTCCTTCTGTGACCTTTGATGGTACTGAGAACATACAAGGGAGCAACGCTGCAGCAGAACAGATGTTACTAAAGGTAAATTGAGGCCCTTACATAATAGTCCTGTTTGGACAATTTCTAATGTTACCATCTATTCTTAAATTTAGATGCCATTTATATGCTTTTTTACATAGTTAATTGTGTCAGTTGGCATAGTGTTGCTAAACGTTATTCTGATAATCATAACAGTAACCAAGTTTAGGCCAGCATGTTACATACTGTATATACTCTTGTATAAATCTACCTCATATGTAAGTAAAGAACAGGCTTATGAATTTTGATATGATTGTGGAGAAGTCAAAGATCATTTTGTGAAGAGAGAAAAGCATCAGTGCCACTGACATTTTCCCATCCAAGTATTTAAAAGGCCAGAAGCAACACCATGGTGGAGAAAGTAGAGGAGATCAGTGTTTCTTTTAGGTTATCCTAAAGCCCCCTTCCACACAGCTAAATAAAATCCCCCATTTTCTGCTTTGAACTGGAATATATAGCAGTGTGGACTCAGATAACTGAATTCAAAGCAGATATTGTGGGATTTTCTGCCTTGATATTCTGGGTTATATGGCTGCGTGGAAGGACCCTAATCTCTCACCATTCACCACTCGACTCAGAGAAGGGAATGATTCTTTTTTACAATGGTTGTGGCACAGTACTCAGATTAACCCATGGATAAGTCGACCGAGCTTTTTGGGGTAGATTTTTTTTACTAAAATGTCTAGACCTATACATGAGTATATACAGGTTATAATTTAACTATCTCTCTTTGGCTTTTATTTAAGCAGTTTCTCATTTAATAGTCATCAATATGAGTGTGAAAAATATTAAACATTTTGCAAAAAATATCTTGTAGAAACATTTTTTTCCTTAAATATCTGCATTTTTCTCAAGACCACCTATCATCCTTTTCCTTGTCACAGACAAATTAGATATACCTTTGATTTGCTATTACCTTAGAATCACATTAAAAGAAGGATGAAAAGTTTGGTTTTTTTTATTACAGATCTTTGTTTTCTTGTTGTTTCATTGTATGGTAGTTTTGATGGCAGTTCCCACTATGTTTGCATAGCAAACATACTCTTTGGTTTTGTATTAAAATTATGTTAAGGAATGAGTAAATTCCAGGGATGACAAAAAACAAAACAAAACAAGACACTATTTTGGTTTTAGCTACCATATTTCATTTAAAATGGATGCAGTTCATCAAGTGCTGGCTCCTCATTTAATTTAAGGAGGTTTGTGTTGGAGCAGTGCATGATCTGTAGCCACTTTGTCTTCCTTCTCAAATGCATGTGAAAAAACCATTAGCATTACGGCAGCAAGGAAACAAGATTGTATATTAATGATTACATCTTAAGTTAGTGGTTTTCTGACTTCATCCATTTCCCATCTATGAATCATATGGTTATGCAGTAGCTACCAACTTAAACAAAAACCTGATATGGCTATGGTTTGCTTGATGGCCTGCTCTGTGTTGAGGGGTACAAACCAAGGGCAGGGGGGAACTGCGGTAAATGTAATTCAATGCCATATTTATAGTGTGCATTTATTTCAGGGTCCTCATCACCTGCACGTCCTGCAACCCCACTGACATCCTGCAGCAGTCCTACTCCACCACCCCCTCCACCTAGACCGCCATCTCGCCCAAAATTACCTCCAGGGAAGCCTGGTGTTGACGTGGTATGTTTGTTTTTTTACATGTCTTCTTTTTTACTCTGAAGCAAAAAAAGAAAGATGTAGTAATCATAGCAAGCAAATTATGTTTACCCTAACCCTTTTAATTGTTTGAAAGTGCACATAAAAATAGAATGATCACTGATGTCAATCAATTGGCAATTTTTTGGAAAGTTACCATGTAAAATTGCTGTCTAGTTTGTTAGGTTTGATGAAGCATGGTTATCTTGTCAAAAATAAGATGACACTTATGTGTAATGTGTAAGAAGATGCATGTGTGAAACCTTTCCCAGCAAAGCCTGTTTGGAATTTGTTCAACTTTAATTAACTTGACATTATGCTAGATATTTGAAGAATTACTTTTTGAGGAGCAATGCCCTCCAGTGCTCTGACTGGACAAGAGAAAGGGAAAATAACAACAATTTTGCCAATTTCTTCCTCTTACTATCTTTTAAAAAAACTGCTTCTGAAGGCTGGATAATAGTTGAACATAATGGTGATGATGATGATGACAGTGATGGCATTTATTCATATTCTGCCTTCTTCCCAGAATTGGGACTCAAAGAGGCATTGAGTCTTTAAAACAGCATTACAGTTAAAAATACGCAAAAAGTGAAAATTGAAATAAAATTAAGCTAGTAATAATGCTCAAACAATTAACATTTCTAGTTAAAAGAATAACATGCAATATAAAAGATATTGAAAACATCACAGTTCTTTAAAATCTATGTGTATCAAATGTCCATTGGAATAAAAAGCTTTTATGCATTGTCAAAGGTTTTCATGGCTGAAATCACTGGGTGTTGTAGGTTTTTTCGGGCTATATGGCCATGGTTTACCCAAAAAGCTTTTAGTTTGCCATGGGAAGGACAGCAGGGAGAAACCATTTTTACCTTTCTGGGAAGAGAGTTCCAGAGTTTAAGGGAAACTACTGGAAATGTCTTCTCTTGCATTGCCACAAATCATGCTTGTGACAGTGGTGGAAATGAGAGAAGGGCCTATCCTGATTATCTCTGGGCCAGAACAAGCACATACAGGGATATATGGTCTTCAAAATCCCCTTGACCTGGACTTGAGACATATAGAACTTTATAAGTAGGAGCTGGCAGAGCTATTTCAACAGGAGCGTAATATGGTCCCTATATCCTGCCCTAAATAGCACTCTGCTGAGATCTTTTAACTACTTGAAGTTGCCAAAGGTGGCCCCATTTAGAGAACATGACATTAGTTCAAATAGGATGCAACAGAGGCATGTACCACTGTGACCAGATCCCGCATATCAAGGAACAGGCGTAGTTGATGCACAAGCTTTATAGGTGTGAAGGTCATCCTGGCCACTGCAGAAATCTGTCCTTCCAAGTTCTGTGCAGAGTCTAGGAGCTCTACCTTACACAAACAGAATCCCTGTTTGCTGACTTGCCTTCTGTCTTGTCTGGTTTGAGTTTCAGTGTGTTTGTTCTCATCCAGTCCAAACCGTCTAGAATACACTAAGAGTGGCAATTGCAAGGAGGAGGGTGGAGTCAGCCACAATTACAACTCTACTCTTTTAATCCAATAGAATTGGATCTCAATATCTTCTGTATAAGGACCCTATGGATCTCATCACATTGAGATCCCCAATCCAAGTGATAGTGGGGTGATTTGCCATAAGTCAAGGTGAAGCCAGTGGGAGGCATGGTGAACCCAGCCCCTTGCACCCTACACCTCCCAAATTGCTCCTACCTCCTTCCATGAGAGGAAGAGCCACCTCCCTGCTCTCACTCCCCCCCCCCCATCATGTCCTCTTACAGCACTTTGACTTCACTTGAGGCACAGAGCCCTGCCGGAAGTTGATTGGCGTCATGTGATGCCCATCTAATGAGATCATCTGTAAGTAGAGAGCATTTAAGGACATTTCAGCATAACAAGTATAAGGAAGAGAAAAGGAAAAATCTAGTAGTGCCTTTGATATATTTTGACACAAGCTGTCTTGGTTTCTGTCCTCCACTCTTTTCTGTTTATAAATGATCACTTCTGAATCTAATGAATGAGATTATTCATGCTGAGCACCTCAATGAAACCAGCTGGCCTAATAGTCAACAAACAGGAACAGAGAAATCAATGAACTTGTATGTCTATTTCATGAGCATGGATTAATTATGGGTTACCAGAAGTCTAAGAAAGTAGTGTGTGCTTATGAGTATTGGTTGGTCTGTTCAAATTAAGTGATGCATTATATGTATTTTGATATTGTTTTTCTTTCTCTACAGTCCAGACCTTTTAGCCCTCCGATTCACTCATCCAGCCCTCCTCCAATAGCACCATTAGCACGTGCTGAAAGCACCTCGTCCATATCATCCACCAATTCCTTGAGTGCAGCAACTACTCCCACAATTGGTAACAAAAAAGCTTTTTTCTTTTGAAGAATAGTTTTCATGAGCAGAATGGCTTAAATCTTTGGTTTCTGAAACCCGTTCTTTGGTTATCTTTTCTTTGTTTGTGTTGTCATAGTCATGTTATGTTAGAGCACTTTATAATGTGAAATAGAACTGGAATTTGAATTCGTATTAGACCACTACATCTGTGTTACATGTGTGCATATCGTGATAACAGTCAAAATAGTCACACACACATGTCCTTCATGAGCACATTTTCCATATATATAGAAAGAGAGAATGTGTCCTCTAGCCCCAAGTTACACTGAGAACAGAATGTAGATTATTTAAAAAGAAGATAGGAAACCCTTTCCAAAAATTAATTAGGGCATGAAACAGTATGGCTCTCATATGCTTGCAGATATTTCACACTGAAAAATTATCGCACTTAAACTGGGAAAAGGCATGTAGTAAATTGTGGATTTAGAATAGCTTTTAGAGACAAATGTCTCTAAAAATAATATACACATGGAATAGTCATGTGTATACTTTAACACCCCGACAATTGTATCACTGTAGTAGTTATACAATAGAATAGTATGGCCTTTCAGTAATAGTTCAAATCATTGTTAAAGTAGTTAGACACACCATGAACCTTAGTAAAGAAAAAGAAGGGGAAAAAAGGTCAAGAATAAAAAGCACTACACAAAATCACTTTTTCTTTTAAAAATCGGTTTTAAACCAGAAATGTGGAGCACATAATCCTCTAGTTGGTATTGAATTTTAATCCCTATCATTATTCACCAATGGCTATTTTGGCTAGCTTTGATATGAGTTGCAGTCCGACAGTATTTGAAGGGCCCCATATTTCTCCTCCCTGTTAGAAGCCAAGCATATTTTCTCTCTTTGGACTGCAGAAACTGTACAGCTGTACAATGTCAAAAACAGTGCAAAATGTCAATGATCTGACAACAACTTAGACATTTATTGAAGGAAGTGGTTTTTTATTTTAAAAAATGTTTTTTTAGGTAGAGGTTAGATTACACATGATGTGGCTGATTGTTTCTAGTATTGATGCCTTTTGGTCCTGTTTCCTTCTTTGGTCTCCCCTGATCTCCCTTACTTCTCTCACCTTCTGAGATCAACCCATGTTTGGATTCTCTCTTCTGATTTCCTTTACAACATTATGTTTTCTTTCTTCCTGCTTTAAATCCACATCTTTTCCTCTGATATAGCTCTTTTTGTGCTGCAGACTCCAGGTTTTCCTTTTTGACCTGCCTCTTCTTTCATCAGCGCTTCCACTCTTCTGCAGACATCTCTGTCTCCTTCAGTTCTCATTGTTTGCCAGGTTGTTTTATTTGTTTCATATGCCTTTGGACCCGTTCTTCTATAAATCTCAACTTCGTTTGATTTCTGTTCCTCTGATGTGACTCCTAATTCTCTCTTGACAATTTTCAAAACTATATGGAGGAAAAAGGGAAGTTGAAGTCTAGTTCAAATTGTCTGAGTGTTCTTAATAAACTTTTCAGCTTGGGAACAAATTGAATGTTTGTTCCAAGAAATCCAAACCTAGTCAAATGAAAAATCAAAAATGGCTGAAGTGTGTGTATGTGTTATGTAATTGTGAGGTGTGATGAACTATACTGGTAACTTCCCATTTATGGGAAACCTTCGTCTTTTAATCTGAAAAAGAAATCATACTATGTTTAAATAATGTCTCTAATTACTTTAAAAATGATGTTGCTCCCAAATGGAGCATATATTTAGTCCTCCAATAATGATTTGGGAACTGTTGGCTCTGGTTTTAAGTGCTTTGTCTTTTCATGTGTCCTTCTGAGACATTTCAATTCATTTTTGTTCCCTTTTTGCCTTTTGTAATACTTTGGTGGGGTAGTAGTGATGGAAAGCTTCAGGTAATTTTCTAACTACTTATTCTTCATGTTTATGTTCTGTTTCTGTTGCTGTTGGGTAGTGTTATGACTGGCATGATATAAATGTATGTCAGTCAATGAACTGAAAAGAATTTCTCTCAATCTATTCTACAAATTTATGTTCTTTTAACCAAAAGGCTCTGCCATCAGTGGCTTAATTCCTTATATGTAAGATACTTTCAAGGGCTGGTGTAAATAGTCTGAAGCTGATAGTAGTCGGTGTACCTTTTTTCATGAGAGACACATTATTGTGTGTTCTTACCAGTAACTATAGCTTAAAACTGCAAATCAGATAACTAATTTGCAGAAACTGCTATTTTCAACTTGTAATTTTTGGCTAGATCTATGCAAAGGAGATGTAATATTATGCAATTTTCCATTTAAATAATAATTTCCCTGTACAGTGAGTCCATTTTATCTGTGGCAGTTCGATTCAGTGACTCCCCATAGATACAAAATATGCCAGCAATCATGCCCAATATTATGAAATGATAGTGATGTGAACACACACACTTCAGCATATTTACATTCACGTTGCTACCATTTATTTATTTATTTATTTACGACATTTATATGCCGCCTATCTCACCCCGAAGGGGACTCACAGCGGCTCAAAAGATATATATATATATACATACAATATATTATATTATTAGCATAGTAAAATATGGTAAATACAAAATTTACATACAATTACATACAAAAAATAAAAAGTGATGATTGACGGTCCCTGGAAATCACAGATCCAGATCCTGTTGATTCAGCAGACCCACCATGAAAATAAAATTGCTAATGTGATTCCTTTGAGGTGAAGCATTTAGTGGAAGACCTTGTAGATTGTTATCAGTGGAAGCTAAGTTACTATCTAATTACATTTTATTTTTATTCTGAGCCTGTTTGGCAGATATAAGAAATTATAGAAAAATATTGGCTTCAAAAACTAGTTACTGATGCAAGGGGACTGCTATTACTTTTCCTTATTTTGTGATGACAACTACAAAGATTAAAGTGAACGATAGGTAGGTAGTTAAAGAATATTACCTGATGCCACATATTTGCTCTTCTTCAAAAGTATCACACTTATAAAATGCCTTAAGTTTTGCATTTCAAGTCAGTTACTAATTCATCCACTCTGTTAATACAATATAATGTTTTAAAAATCAGATGATAGTCCAAAGATAGACAACTAATGAATTATGCATTGCAGCAACAACTGGAAAGGCCTTTCTAATACGAAGACTTTACAGTCTTCATAAAAGCCTGAGCAGATGAGTTCTGTTACATTTTTATGTTGTCAGAATAAATTGTTTCAGTAAGTAATAGCCAGGAGGGCTCTTAGATTTATAATCTGTCAAAACCGTAGTAGCATGTTCAAATACTTTGAAGATAACGTGTAGTATTGACAGTCCAGTGCAAAATCCAATTATGAAGTGGCAACACTCTTAAAATGGAAGACCCATGAAGGCTTTTGAATTTTGAATCATATTAGAACAAGAACACAATCTATTTTTGGCATATACACTTTATTTCACATAATGATGACTATTTAAATTATTGTTCATTGTTGAAATTTCTAGTCTATAGTAATAATGTTTACACTAGTTTCAGAGATTTTATTAAGAATAGTATAGACAAATTTGAGGAAAAGTTGATGAAACTGTGAAATACTGTAGTTGGCATGGCTAATAAGAAACAAAACTGGCTTGTACTTGGTCATCCCAGCTGTTTAGTCATGGCTTATTAGTTAACAACAAGCATCATTAAGACAAAAATTTGGATGCTGCTATATATATTTAGTATGTACAGATTTAGAACACCTACTCAACTTTTCTCATTTTTTAAGTAGATTGGGTTTAGTTTGTATATCTCTTTTAGGCATTTCAAATGATTTAGGGCTTACATCAAGAGAAAGCCGTAGGACTAGTCATACTCGTACACAAATCTTACACAAATTAACCTTTTGCTTGTGTTTTCTTGAACATGATTACTGAATACAAGCACATTTTCTTAACATTAGAATCAAGCAATTTTGTTATATTTATGTTGTTGGGTATTTATGGGTGTGTGCAGACAATTCGTTGACTGTTGTAAATAAAAGGAGCATCTTATCAAATGTTCAAATTCTGTTTTCTCCTCAACAGGGACAGATAATGATCACAATGTTCATGAAAAATACCTTAATTTTTAGACTCTCACCTCCATTTCCCACTGTAGAAATTATTAAAATGTAGCCTGCTGTTTATTGACAAGAATGGCCACTTGTTGGAAAGCTCCAATCTGCACATATAGCTGGTACTATCAAAGCTAATAGGATCAGTCATGGGTGGGAAGACCTTATGTAAATCAGCCATACAACAATAAGACAGGTGTGGCATGTGATGCCAAGGCTATTTTTGCCACACCACAACACCCACCCCTCAAAAAATATTTTACTACTTCAATGCCTCCTTCTTCATTGTTTGGTGGCCATTTCCTGTTTTGAAATAAGGTCTCTCCAAGCTTGAAACTAATGGAAGAAGAGAAAAAGTTTTTGAGGTTCTTTTTTATTGGGGGGAGGGTTTGAATAAAAATATTGACCCCTGGGGCTGGTCTGAAAATCAATGTAGGGAGTCTCACAGGGAGCCTGATACGTGCCACCAGTCCCTCAAGGTAGCTCATCTCCATCATAACATTTGCTGAATTGCTTGGCATGTAAAGAGCTGGTAACTCCAAGCAGAAATTTTCTTTGTAGAGGGGATGGACAGTACTGTGGGACATATAAAGCTAAAGGTTCAATGATGCTTCAGATCTGTCAAGCTAAATTTGGTTGTACAAAGGAGAATTGGAGCACTTGAAAACCAGCTATGGCTTTCAAAAGGACATTGTAGGAAGTATATATATATATATATATATCCTTACAGCATGAATAACTGGGATACTACTAGGACTTTGACAGCTAAGTACAATTCCAGAATGCCTTTTGCAAAACGCAATGTTTTCCCACCTATTTCACAATAGATAGGACTAAACGTGGAGAGTCTGGGATACTTTTATAGGGGACTGGGGTAAAAGGATAGAATATTTTAAGATCTGTATATCTAAGACATGGATGGTTCTGCTTGCACATTGGAAAAATAGATTTTAAAAACTTGTCAATAGATAAAACAGCTCCTTCCTATTGCTCATTGTCCTAGTTGCTCAATTTTGTCTGATATTTGTTGGATTTGCCCAAGGGAATATGGCACAGAATTATTTCATTTACTTGTCTGTCCATTTTGTATTTGATTTTGGGTTCTTGTGGTGGCTATTGCATATAATTTTGATAATAAAGGAAACTTGTCCACTATTTTTATGTCTATGATCTTTTATTTTTTCATTGTAATGTTTGTGTTTTGGTTGATAAGCAGCTATTTGGTTTTTGTTTGGAGTTTGTGTTTTCATTGTTTTTCTTTTACATTTCTTTTGCTCATGGGTTTCAGAAGATGATGCTTATGTTGACAAACTGCCCTCGTTTGAAAGGCACTGTGAAACGCCTGCAGGTACTGTACTAGCAGAGTGGTTTCAAGAAATCTGGATTTAAAAGTCAAGCCATTATCATCTGAATGCCTCCTTCACTACCACCACCACCATGAGTGTCAAGTGCATACAAATTTGTACCTAAGAGCTAACTGAGGAACTCATGCAAAACAAAACATGCAGTGCATTGCATGATGGTGTCCCAATAATAAGAGTTTGGGAGAGGTGACATATTGCTAACTTGTGATTCTTTCATATGTAAAGAATAACAGATACTCAAGAAGCACTCTTCAGATAATTTATTTTCCATACCTTGCTCTTTCTCCAAAGCAGAGTTGACTTAAATATCTGGTTCCCGCAAGTTTCCAGGACCAGATGTGCCCAAAATCACTGATAGGGTATAATTTCCAGTTTCCAGTTTTGGTTCATGTTCACTGGATCCTTTAAAATGGAGGCATCAACGCAACTGGTGATATTTGACAAGAAGAGGAAGGGATATAGATCAGCACATTCATATTTTGGTTTTGTAAACCACAGGGGTCCGAAAGTGCTCAGCAATTTATTGATCCTAATTTACCAGTACTAAGAAAAACACTTGAGCAGATGTTAACTCCATCTTAGGAAGCCCAGTCATATTCATCATCCACGAGAACACAATAGCAAAGTTGTGATACATATCTGTTTCAGGATGAAGACACGTGAGCATGGGTGCTCCATAATGTATGGGAGCTCCGGAAATATACCCAGTTTTCCCCTTTATCCATCTTTTTGGTCAGGTTCACATATTTTTCAGTGCTACATTTCCAGATGTGACCATATGCACCGATGCCTCCCAAGATTACAGCAGCATCTTTGCGATGTGGCTGGTTACCAGTGTTGCTAAAACAATCTAATGTATACAGCAACAACTCATCTTCTACTGCTCCCCTAAAAGCCAGGACAACTATCCGGTGGGCAAAAATTACCTCCATTTAGGATTCCATAGCTTGCTTTTTTTGCTTTCTGTTTCCCAAAATAAAACAAGAACATTGTTTTAAAATCCCTGCCCGGCTCCTTGCACGTTAACAGCTTGCAGCGCCTCTTCTTCCCCTGTAGAAAGATTAATAACCTGCTTCTGTGACTCACACTTATGTCCTTCTCTCTCCCTCTCCTTAACCTTTCCCATCCCGCTTCAACTCCTGGCCATACAGAGAATGAACAGCCTTCCCTCGTCTGGTTTGACAGAGGAAAGTTTTATTTGACTTTTGAAGGTAAGTAGTGCATAGCATACTGGGTTGGAACTTCAAACTCTCCTCTGCTCTTATTATTTAATAATAGAAGCCCTTTGGTTTCCTTGAATCAAACAAGCAAACCCATTCTACCTTTCTGTTTGGAAATGCTATGGCTACTTAGTTGACATGATGAGTTCAATCAGAATACTTTTTAAATTTGATTTGTACAACTGTGTCCCTTCAGTTGTTACAATTGTCTTAATTTCAATGGGAAAAAGGGAAAACATTAAAGTAGATGTTTTTTTAAAAAACCCAGAGTTACTGATAACCGAGGAACTTGACTCTGTCAACCAGGGCTTCTTGTATACACTTCGCAAGCAATTTTTACACTTTATAACAGCTCCACAGCATAAATCCACTTACAATTTTTATTGTCTTATATTGAATCTGCTTAATTCCCTTGCCATCATATTTAGGAGAAGCTCCCATGCAGGCAATAAAAAAGCATATTTCAGATAGATATGAAAACTATATTGTTTCTCCACATTCAGAGTTAATGGCATGCATCATCAGTTTATGTGTAATTTGGAATGGAAATGTATGGTATAAGAATACAAATGTTGATAATTTAACAAAGATCGTTTAAATGGTATTTTAACATTGTTCAGTCAGCCTCTTCATTTTAATTTGTATGTACCATTTCCAGCTTTATTATAATGGAGGTTTAAAGCTTGCTTACAAGAAATGTTTGGTTTTATGAGCCTATTTCTGTTTTAACTATCCTTCACAGGAGTAATTTGTCACAATCTTAATTGCTTTGGAAAATTTAATGAATGAAGGGGTGAGGATGCAAATGAAAAGAGAAATGTTACAGATCAGAGTGATAAATTTTACTTTTTGCCTTAAATAAGTATGCAAGAGTTTGGGGATTTTGTAACTTTGAGAAGTTGTTTAGTCCCAGGCTATTCTTTTATAAGATTACCCATAATACGGAGATGGGTTTACACAATGGGTTGAGTCTGCAGATTAGTGATGAGAGTTTTGTTTGCAAAATTGAGCACTTTGGAGCCTCAAGGCCCCCGTTTCCAAGCAGCTGACCTCACCAGCCACAAACTTGCTCCAGAAAATTGGAGATCAATCAAAGCAGCATGGAAGGCAGGATGAATGATTTCATGGCAATATTCATAATGGAAGTGCTACGTAATTATTTTTAAAAAGGGTTCTGAGCATTATACAGGTCTTCATTTCCAATAATGAGTCACAACTCAAGAGGTTCGTGAGGGTAGAAAGTTCTTCCCAAATGGTAAATTGTCAGAAAATTCACATCCTCCCCAGTATAATTTTTACATGACTATTTCTTCAGGGTGCTTCTGCTTTGTTGCCTCCTTACTTTACCCCAGCTACTCTGGCCCCGCTCACCTCTTTATGTATGTATTTGCCCATGGAGGAAAGGAAATTAAAGACAGCAAAGGTTATTGTAGCTAGTTAGCTATGTTAGCTGTCGTAAAAGTGATGAGTAAAGCAACTTGCAGTGGTCCAGAGGCCAATTTTTGGCCTTGAGGACCCAGCACAGCCTGCACGGAATCTGTAAATGCATTTTCTTAAAAATTAAAATAGCTGGAACTCCATTCTTTCATTTTAGGAGCATGCAGGAAAAAACAAAAAAAAAATGGCATGCCGGAAAAAACAAAAAAATGGCATTTCTAAAAGAATTAATCTCACATTATACAGTTATAGCACTATTATTCCACTTTAACTGTGATAGAATATATGATTTGGTGAAGCACAAGAACTCTCTGACTTAGGATTCAGAATATGCCTGACTAAACTGCAAATTCCAAAATTTTATATGATGCATCCATGGCTGTTCAAGTGAAATCACAATACTACCGTTTAGTGTGGAGCAGGCTGCACATGAGATATTATTGGGGCTCTGCAGGATCATAATGGCAAAAATAGCATTTTGGGTCACATTTAGCTCACAGGCCATCTTTAATTCACATCTTATCTGGGAGCCTCATCCCTGTTCTTCATTAATACTTTCTTTCTTTCACCCAGTGGTTTATCTAGGGAAATAACATTTTGCTGAGAGCTTGTATCTTTATGTGTGTCATGTCCATCATTTTCTTGTAAAATAAGTGTGCTTCCTCACCTGTATCATCACTTTACATATATCTGTGCTCTAAAACGCCTAAAACAGATGCTTCCTGAGATTTGATTGAGATTAAAACTCGATGTTCTGCAAGTGGTCAGAATTATGGCACTAAATTGCAGATCAGTTCTTCCTGAATGCTTCATCACATCCCCTTACTTAAATTAAACAACACAGTTTTGTGGGGAAATCTGAAAATGATCTCTGATGATGTAGCTACTAGCCCAGGCATGACCAAACTCCAGCTCTCCAGATGTTTTAAACTTCAACTCTGTTAGGAAATGTGGGAGTTGAAGTTCAAAACACTTGGAGGGCCAGAGTTTGTCCATGCCTGGGCTAGTCCATAGTTGAATTTTTTTTAAAGACCACAATGTTAAGTTCTATCACCAATTGAGACAATCCCTTGTTGTTGTTTTTCCTCCTAGCAGAAGCAGGAACTGTGAAGATAGAGAAAATTATAATTCATGCAGTGTCCTTGCTGTCTTTATCAACACTTTCCCTCTAAACCTGGGGTGGGTATGTTCTCGGGATTTGATGGTTTTCAGCACCTCCTAGCTCTTTATGAGCCATACCAATGGAGTTAGTGGTGTTTCAGTCAGGTTTTGCAGTGTTTTGAATGCCCCCATCTCCGTATTTTCCTTTTGCTGTTTCAGGCTGAGGATGAGGCTAAAATGATATTTACAAGTCTCTTAGGAACCATTTTATAGTTGTTTTAAGAAATTGGGATTAAGCAGCCAATGGCTACATAGAAACTGCCCACATGTAATCCCTCAAGTGCACTATCTCTGCCTTGCAGCGGTATGAGTATACTGGGTTGTTGTAGGTTATTCGGGTTATATGGCCATGTTCTGGAAGCATTCTCTCTTGAGATTTCAGCTCCATCTATGGCAGGCATCCTCAGAGGTTGTGAGGTCCTCACAACCTCTGAAGATGCCTACCGTAGATGCAGGTGAAACATCAGGAGAGAATGCTTCTAAAACATGGCCATATAGCCCAAAAAAACCTACATCCTATATTTCCACTTTTTCATTATTTTTCTCTGTCCATCAGTGGGCTAACAAGATCTATTAAAATAAAATATATTAGAAACAAGTAAATTCACCTTAAAGGCATTATAGTTGGAAGAAGAGCAGAAAACATTACAAAAGAAAACACTATGCAATGTGGGCACTGTCCACTCTGACAAAAACTGTCTATGAGGCTGCAGACTGATATTTCATAGTTATAAGCCAACATGAGATTTTCAATAAAGGTGGCTGGTTGTGCTTTGTAGTTTAGACCACATACAATCCCCAAATTATGAACAAGACAGGTTCTGTAGTTTTGTTCTTAAGTTGAATTTGTATGTAAGTCGGAACAGGTACATTTTTAAATGTAACTCCAAGCCCAATATATGTATTATTTAATAGTGGATAGTATAGGGAACAGTGGATAGTATAGGTTAACATCCCTGTGGTGTTTGTTTTGCTGTCTGTGTCCTTGTTCAGAAGATTTCATGTCACTTTCTTTCCCTGAGATAGGATTTTGAAAAAATTGGTTTGTTGTGGAAACAAGGATTGGAGAGAAAGCTTCAGTGGAGACACCTTTTCCCCATTATAACTCTTTCAGGAGTAAATTTTCCTTCCTAGGGGTATATTTCTATCACGCCCTGTTGTCTCACCCCTGTCCTTAACTATACATTTTTTGTTCTGTTGGAAAAGAGATAAGAGAGTGATTTTTTTAAAAAAACAACCTTCTTGGTTTCTCAGTGGCTTTGGCTACTATCTGCCTGAACCAGTTTTGCACATGGAGGTGGGAGGGCATGGTGAAATTGTGATTTTTCTGCTATGTGTTGGGTTCAGATACATCATGGGGGAGGTGCAAAAGTTGTCCAACTTCATAGAACTTATGCAAAATTCTTTCTTACTCCTCATACATTTGGATATGTACATCAAGCTACTGAATGAAATGATCAGGATGTGTGGAATGAGATACCATGAGTATGCTGATGATACATAATTCACTTTCTTGTCATCTGAGTTAGGAGAGCTCACACAAATGTTGAAATGAGACAATTGCCTGGACTTATAAATTACAATTGTTTGTATCTCTTTCAACTTTGCTGTTACGTTGTGCGTTATGTTGGCCACCAAGATAATGTTACATTTATTTGAATTATCTCAGTTTTGTCTATTCATTATCCATGGGCGTCTAATCAGTTGTCACAGACTAGTAGTTCTAGTTTTTTAACATTATGAACCAATAAGTAATACACAGTACCATAGATGGGTATTGTTGTTATACCTGGAGGCCATGGGTGATCTGACTGTTCAGCTGCAGATGCTTGGAGATGAAATTGGTTATCTGGATCAATTTCACTTTTGGAATTGTAGTTGCCATGCTTACAGTAAAGTATTTTCCCTCTGAAGTATAGTAAATGAGAATGCAATTGAGTTAATTTCCTAGGTTGTTTTGTAGCCTTGGGAGCATTATAAATTGTACCTGTCATGGTTTTATTGGTGCTTGAGAAGGAGGATGAAAAAAAGTAATGGCAGCAGATATTCTAAGCTTTGAGAATTGTTTTAAACGATGTCATTTATTCTGGCTTGTCTTCCATACTATTTAACATTCATATTCGGTCACTGGGAGAGGCTATAGGCATTATGTTCATGTTGAAAACAACTGAACAGAGTAAATCAGGGCCCTCAAACTTTTTAAGCATTGGGCCAGTTCACTGTCCCTCAGACTATTTGGGGGCTGGACTATAATTTGGAAAAAAAAATAACGAATGCCTATGCACACTGCACATATCTTATTTATAGTGCAACCCCCCCCCCCCATAAAAAACAATGAAATATTTAAAATGAAAAACAATGTTAACCAACATGGGAAATGTGGGCTTGCTTCT